TCATATATGAAAGTCCCACTTATATAAAACTCAAAGACATGTAAAACTAAGCTATATTGTTTAGGATGCAAACCTAGGTGATAAAACTGTAAAGAGAATCAGGATAGTGATTATCTGTCGGGGGGAAGGGGAGAGATGTGGTCAAGAGAAGACACATCAAGGGCCCTTCTGGTGACAGCAGTGTTCTATGTCTTGACTTGGGTGTTGGGATATATAGATGTTTGCTTCATAATTATTTGCATTATATTATATGTGTATATTTTATGTACTTTTCAGTATATAGTAGTGCCCCCCTCAAATCTGAGGTTTTGCTTTCTGTAGTTTTAGTCATCCACGGTCAACCATGGTCCGTAAAGAGTAAATGGAAAATTCCAGAAATAAACAATTCATAAGTGTTAAATTGCATGCCATTCTGAGTAGTGGGGGGAGACCTCATGCTGTCCTGCTCCATCCCCCTGGGCTGTGCATCACCCCTTGGTCCAGCACATCCACACTGCACACCCTCACCCACCCCTAAGTCACTTAGTCGCTGTCTCGGGTATCAGGTCAACTGTCTTGGTATTGCAGTGCTTGTGTTCAAATCACTCTTATTTACTTAATAATGGCCCCAAAGAGCAAGAGTGGTGATGCTGGCAATTCCAATATACCAAAGGGAAGCCCTAAAGTGTTTCTTTTAAGTGGAAGTTCTTAATGAGAAATGGTTTTTAAAAAAATCATATGTTGAGGTTGCTAATATCTACAGTAAGAATGGATCTTCTACCCATAAATTGTGATGAAGGAAAAGGAAATTTATATTAGTTTGCTGAGAGAGACCACATTCACATAACTGTATTACAGTATAGCCTTATAATTGTTGTATTTTATTATTAGTTATGCTAGCTTATCTCTTACTGTTCTTAATTTATAAATTAAACTTTATCAAAGATATGCATGTATAGGGAAAAAAAGTAGTACATATAGGGTTCCTTACTACCCTTGGTTTCAGGGATCCCCTGGAGGTCTTGAAACATATCCCCCACTGATAAGAGGGGGTCTACTGTATGTATAGTTTTTATAATAAGAGTTTTTAAAAAATCAGGGTGAACTGAAGTGCTTACTTTTAAAAATACATATATCTTTATTGATTTCAGAGAGAGGAAGGGAGAGGGAGAGAGAGAGAGAGGAACATCAGTGATGAGAGAGTCATCATCAATGGGCTGCCTCCTGCATACCCCCAACTGGGGATCAAGCCCGCAACCCGGGCATGTGCCCTGACCGGGAACCGAACTGGGATCTCCTCGATCCTAGGTCAATGCTCAACCGTTGCGCCAAGCCAGGCCGGGCTGAAATGCTTACTTTATTTAATATTTGGAAACAAAGATTAAATTAAGCAGTGATTGAATACAGTTAAGGAACAAAGAAAACTGCAACCAATGGTATATGGGCATTTATATCATTTTAAATATTGTTCTAATTATACATACACTACTTAATATCAAGACTGGTTACATTGTTTAATGTTTATTCTAAAATATTTTAATAGAGTTTAATTTTATTATAAAGAAACTTTAATTGAATGGAAATATGTTAATTTCCCTATCATTTAGCTATACCTATTATAGGTTTCTCTATTTAGACCAAATTATCACAAAGTCACTATAATTCGATTAGTGAATTAATGACATAGCTACAAACAAAATACACACCAGGTTTTCAAAAAAAATCATGATGAGTACTAATATAATATACGTCAAACCTAATAATAAAAGCCTTTTGTTCATGTCATTCTTTAAAGCATATACTGCCTGGCTGGTGTGGCTCAGTGGTTGAGCATTGGCCTGGGATCCAGGAAATCAAGGTTCAATTCCCGGTCAGGGCACATGCCCAGACTGTAGGATTGATCCCCAGTGGGGGGCGTGCAGGAGGCAGCCAATCAATGACTCTCTCATCATTGATGTTTCCCTCTCTCTCTCTCTCTCTCTCTCTCTCTCTCCGTCTCTCTGTAATCAATAAAGATATATTTTTAAAAATATAAGCATATACTAACACGATGTGTCCAGTTTCCCTGGGAGACAGAGCAGGTTCTTCAGCAGTGATTTGGCAAATGTCACCTGGGTCCATTTCATTCAATCTTCCTTGATGTTTACCTAACTAAGGCCTTTATTACGGAATTCTAAAAAGACAACAAAGAAATTAGTTTTAAAAGCAAAAAAAGTACACTAAAGAAAAAGATTACACTCCATCTACCCGATGTAATAAAAGAGGTACAGTTTAGATATACAATGCTAGATGCATAATTTGTGTGTGTGGCCCTGATGTTAATTATCAAGTCTACTTCACCAGACGATGGGTAAAAATTTCAGCAAGGAGCATGGAGAGTGCTGTCTTTCCTGGTTTTCATTTTTGTTTTTTAAAAACATCCAGTGTGCTGTCTATAGTAATTTCCCGTCGTGGTCCATGCCCCACTGTGCCCTCCCCATCCAGGTAGGTATTATGCAGAATACCAGGTTTGAGGGTTAGAATGATCTAAAAGAGAAAAGAAATGATCAATGTTTCAGTCTGAAATTGCTTGAAGTTCTGTGTTTCAAATTCAGGATCATTTTTTCTACTACCAATTTTAGTTACTTAGTTAATATCTTAGTTACTTCTGTTCCTAATGTAATATTATACTAATATATGTAATATAGACAGTTTTAAGGAGGTGGGTCTTAAACTTTTGCTGTTCATTAAGATTACTTGAGGAGTTTTAAAACAATTCTGACACCCAAGCCATACACCTTACCAGTTAAATCAGAGTATTTCTGGGCAAGAGCCGGGCATCGGTATTTTTTATCACCCCCCCAGGTGATTCCCATACGCAGCCAACTGTGTGAACCACTGGCCTAGGGGCTACTATTCTCCACACGCTTCTCTGTAATGAGGATGTACTTCTGCCTTTGCAGCTACTGCAGAAGGATTGTCTTAATCTCCCCGAGTTTATACAGAAAACTCTCCCCTCATAATCAAAAACCTTTTTTTATTATGTTGTTTTTTTCCTCAGCATCTCATAGACAGAAAATCAAGTGAAAATCTCTCCCCTTGGGACACCATGCTGCCTCACAGTATAATTGTTTGTCTCACATTCTCTAGCTCTGCAAATGCAAACCTATAAAATTAAAAAAAACATGTACGTCAAGTTTTTGCTAAGCAAGTTGTTGTAATAAAAATATTGCAAGGGGCTTGGTCTTCAAATGGTCCTAATTAAGACATTTAAAGATGTCATCAGAGGGTGACCAATTTGTTTCTGTTTGCCTGGGACTTTCCTGATTTTAACACTGGGAATCCTGAGTTCTGAGAAGCCCTTCGATCCCGAGAAAACAGAGACGACTGGTCATCCTAGCATGAATCTGAGTGGTAATAGCTGAAATTAATCCTCGGTACTTTATTAGCACAGTTCTGAATGCACTAATGATACGAGTATCGTAGTGATTCTCACAGACATCAGCCAGGCTAAAGGTGCCAGACAGCAAATAAATTATACTATATCTTTTGTTTGAAGTCCTAGATCTAAACGAATCTATGGTGAAAAATATTAAAACAGTGGACGCCTCTGCAGTGATGGAGTAAAGTTTACTGAAGGGACGGGTGGGAAATGGCTGGTAGGACAGAAATGGTCTCTATCCTGATGGGTGTGTAGTTACATGAATGTATCTTTTTATCAAAACTCATCAAATAGCACAGTCAGGATTTATGCATTTCAACATATGCAGATTTTACCTAAAGCGCAAAATAAATCATTAAAGGTAAACGAAAAAATGGTGATTAGAAATATTCATTTATGAATAAACCTACGTCTTTACTAAATTATGTTGGCTAATTTGCCTTCAGTACAAGTCTTTTAGCTAAATTACACTACCATGAGCTGTTTTTCACACTGTATTATAGTTGTGTGTGTGGGAAAGTGTGGTCCTTGGACCTTCAGCGTGGGCATCATGTGGGCACTTGTGAGAAAGCAGAACCTCAGCCTTCCCCCTGCCATCGGAACTCTGGGCGTAGTCCCCGCTATTTTTAATAAACCCTCCAGGTGGTTCTGATGCATGCTCAGATCAGACTATCACTAAATAAGTAGAAATAGTAATTAAATGAGGTTGAATAGAATCAGATTCGTTCACATTTCAAATTACTCCACAGAATTTGTGCTCTAGATTACCCTGCTCTGTAGGTAAGTTTCTGAGGAGAGACACATTCTGATCATTCAACTTTTTTTTCTCTATTTAAGAAATATTTTTAATCAAGAATGAAATCAGAAGTAGAAAAGGAGGCAATCTCTCTGTCTTCCAGAATCTACGAGACCAGCTGGAGAGATATGCTGCAAACACGCATGGCAGCAAAGTAACAACTTAATGAACTATGCGATGTTGCAGTAACAGGAACAATATAGGTAAATTGCCTGCCAGGGTTTTCGGATACAGAACATGACCAAAGTTTGAAACGCCTAAGGAAACCCATCCCAGTAGCACAGAAGCCATGAACATTGCCTGCGTAGAGGGGTCCCCTTCCTCATTGCTCGCAAAGGCCCACGTGGTTCATTTTCCTCTTATCCCATGCCAGATGCCACACCGTGCAGATGGGATGCCTTCCACATTCGTCACTGGAAGAAATGCACAGCCTGGAATGTGTTTGCCCAGATTCCATGCAGAGGGGACACAGGGGGAGAGTAAGAGATGTAGCCCCAAATGCCAAATGGAGGAGGGGGAGAGGAGTGTGGTCTAGAAGATGCCTGCAGGTGTGAGTCAGAGGAAAAGCAAGTCAGACAGACTTTATCATATCTGGAAAACGAAATGTTGTTTCCAACAAGTTTAAACCATTAAATAGATAATGTATAATTTGATAATTACTCAAATGTTAGGCAAACAACAACAAGGAAATGGTGACAACTCACCCAGTTCATGCAGTATATAAGTCTCCTTGGCACAAGGAGACCCCCAAACTAGAGAACCTCACTCTCCTGAACTCACCCAGACTCTCAACCCTCTGCCACCATGGTCAACTCTTGTGGCTCCGTCTGCTCTGATCAGGGCTGTGGCCAAGGCTGCTGCCAGGAGACCTGCTGCTGCCCCAGCTGCTGCCAGACCACCTGCTGCAGGACCACCTGCTGCCGCCCCAGCTGCTGTGGCTCCTGCTGTGGCTCCAGCTGCTGCCGCCCCAGCTGCTGTGTGTCCAGCTGCTGCCGCCCCAGCTGCTGTGGTTCCTGCTGTGGCTCCAGCTGCTGCCGCCCCAGCTGCTGTGGCTCCTGCTGCTGCCGCCCCTCCTGCTGCATTTCCAGCTGCTGCCGCCCCTCCTGCTGTGGCTCCAGCTGCTGTGGCTCCAGCTGCTGTGGCTCCAGCTGCTGCCGCCCCTGCTGCTGCCCCTGCTGCTGCCTCCGCCCAGTCTGTGGCCAGGTCTCCTGCCACACCAACTGCTATCGCCCCACCTGTGTCATCTCCACCTGCCCCCGCCCCATGTGCTGTGCCACCCCTTGCTGCTGAGCCCCCTCCCTGAACCCTCTCTCTTCCTTCATCCTGCTCATCATAGGCGCAGACCTTGTGCACCCCACAGATGCCTTAGGAGAGCCCTTCCCTTCAACTGTGTGTCCACAGCCTGGCCTCAGGCCAGACTCTCCTTTTGTTGACCTTTTATCTTGTATTTCCTTTCACAGGGATGTTTCAGTATCTTATTGCTGCTTCTGAATAAAGCTCTATTTTCCTGGCTTAGAAATACAATGTTCTTGTGTCTGCTACTTTGCGATGACTGTCTTCATTTCCAGAGAAATTATATGCAACACACAACTGAATCAGGTTTTGCAATTCTTTCTCTCATCTCCAGGAAAACCCCAACATGTATTGAAATTAAAAGAAAACAAGCCCAGAAATAACTGGAATATTTAAAAAATATTTTCCAAGCATTTCTATTTGCTTGTACCAGAAGGTAGACCTGTCCATATCAACTTAATCAGCCATGTTGCCAGAAGTCCTATATTTTCAGGGACTCAAGAAGATGAAAGATTTACCGCAAAGGTTAGAAATATAAAAAGAGGTTTTTAGAGTAGAAGCTCCTATAAAGTAAAATTTATCTAATACTTTAGTATTTCCCACCAAAGACATAAACTACTCACTCTTACTATACTAACACTGCAGAAATATATTTTTCAATCCCAATCCCTTTTGATGTTTTTTAACTTTTTGAAAAAAATTCAAATTTACAGAACGGTGCCAAAGAACATCCTTATACCATATAATCTTTCATCTAGATTCAACCTTTTGCCACATTTTGTTTCTCTCCAATAGAGAAACATAAGTAGGTAAGCAGATAGATAGATAGATAGATAGATAGATAGATAGATGATAGATAGATAGATAATATGATTGAGATACAGATAGACATATATCCTAACACTAAGGACATTTTCTTGCATAACCACAGTACAGATATCAATTAAATCAAATATTGATGCATTACTATTATCTAATATACGTTTAATATCTAAATGTTGCCAGTTGTACCGATAATGTCTGATAGAAAAATGTTTACCATATCCATGAATTGCATTTAGATATTGTGTCTCTTTAGTCTCCTTGAATCTGAAACACTTCCTGAGTCCATCCTTATATCAGATGATTCTCACTCTTAAGAGAACGGGTCAGTCATTATGTAAAGTATTCCCTAGTCTGTTGTGTTTGTCTGAAGTTTCCTCATCATCAGATTCAGGTGATGCATTCTGACAGGAGTACTACATAAGTGAAGTGTTTTTCTCAGTGTGTGACTTAAGGAGACGCTGGTCAGTTTGTCCGGGTATTAATAATGCTAACTCTGATCCCACGGTTAAGGTTATGCTATCGTTTCTCTACAGTAAAGTTAGTGTGTTTTCCTTTGAAATTAACAAATAATCGAAGGGGAACTATTTTGAAAATGTGCAAATATCTTACTGGCCATCAAATTTTCATCCAATAGTTATAGCATCCACTGATAATATTTGCTTGAATCAAGTTTTATTATGAGGGCTGTAAGTGATGATTTGGTAGCTCTGGTTTTTTTCTTCTGCATTTATCAGTTGACATTCTACTGTCACAGATAACTGTCTCATCTTCCTTTTAAAAATATTTTTTATTTAACTAGTCTCAGTATGGACTCATGGATTCTCACTTTATTTAATGAGCTAAAACCCATTACTGCCATTACTCATTTTGGTGCTTAAGCTGCTCCATATTGAGCCAGTGAGAGTGCCTTCGAGGTGGCTCCAAGCGACTTTTAATATTTAAAAACAGTGAGTCATTGGCAACGGTTCCCAGTGGAATACAGGAAGTACTAGCAGTACACAGTTTGAGGCAGCCAGACAGCCCACTAGCTAATGGGCATCCACGCCTCCCAGATGGCCCTGTCTTCCTCATTGCACATAGGTGACTCACAAAGGTGAACCTTTTCCCTCTCACTCCCTACTCTAATTCTGCTTCTCTTTTAACATCAAAGAGCTTTTGGCATGAGGAGAATAATTGAGCCAAACAGCATCATGGAATGATACCCAGATCACAGGTAAATACTAGTGATTGAATCATGTGATGGGCCCTCTTGACAACCAAGAAAGTAGGAAAGATGATTCTGGGAAAGACCAGGTTGGAAAATCTTAACCCACCAGGAAAAAGAAATCTTATTTTTCTTCATCTTAAAATCTTAAACCAGAAAAACATGATGACCTAATTTTAGACTAATATTTCTTTTAAAAATAAACTAGAAAATGATCCAGGGCCTGGGCACAGCAGCCTCAGCAGAGTACGAAACAGGACATACAGCAGAGGGCCTTCCAAATTCGCTAAGTGTGCGCTCCTAACAATATCAAAATCTCCACCCTCTGACACCGTGGTCAGCTCCTGTTGTGGCTCCGTCTGATCTGACCAGGGCTATGGCCAAGGCTGCTGCCAGGAGTCCTGCTGCTGCCCCTGCCCAGCCTGTGGCCAGGTCTCCTGCTCCACCACTTACTATCTCCCCACCTGTGTCATCTTCACCTGCCCCTACCCCACGTGCTGTGCTTCCTCTTGCTGCTGAGCCTCCTCCCC